ATTGATTTGGACCAGGAGGAGTCCTATACACTCATAGGATATGGGTGGGTTGAAATTTAAGTCAAGGAAATTGACTACTATGATTTTTCCCAAGTAAACAATGACCTACGGGTCGGGTATTTCCAAGTGTATATATATACTGGTATGTATTTTATGACTTGGGGAAAAGTACTATACATGTATGTATCACCCTATGTTTGGGTCTTATACTTGAAACGTTAGTTACTCTACATTTACGTTGCTACTCGCTCGGTACTTGTACAAACCCCTTCCCCCCCCCCCCCCCCCCCCCCACCATTTTCAGGTTGAAGTTAGGGCTTGCTACACGCACCTTCTTACGGGTGAACTCAAATCAAGGAAGACATGGTTCGTGCTTCCTTATTTCCTTTCAAACTACCAAACACTTGCTCATGGGTATTTGATTTATTATAAACTATTTTGGGCCTGTGAGCCCATGTTTTGGCCGGTTGTGGCCTATGCTTTACCGTTGAATATTTCCGCTATTCATTGGTTTAAATGTGATGTTGTTATGTATGTTTACTACTGAGTATGGATAGATTATGTTCATGGATGCCTTGTATGACTAAGTCACGTTGACTTGCGAGTGACATCACTTGGTCATACGGCAGTTGTACACTCGCTTAGATGCAGTCTGGGGCGTGACAATTAAGTGGTATAGGAGCCCTCTCAATTCTAAACTATGTAATCAACCTCTCACAAGAGATTTTGCAAACTAAGAGAGAATCAAATAATCAACCTCTAAATAATATAAAATAAAATGTACGGCCTACATAATATGTAGTATATTAGAGAGAATCAAATAATCAATTATATACATGTGAGCAGATAAAATGGCGGTGCCGGAAAGTAGTAGAGCAAACTAAAAAGTTCTAGTGAGAGAAACAAACCCTCAACTCTTGTGTGATTCTATATCATTTTTACTTTATGAAGGTGGCGTCAGCGCATGGAGATGGCCTCAACGACGGAGGAGGTGTGTGTCGCGCCGTTGTGGGCATCAGGTGCCACAACGATGTTGTTTTTAGGAAATGAGTAGGAAGTTAGAGTTTTATAATACTCCGTATCAATCTAAGAGTATATTCTGGTAAAAAAAATGTAATGGTAAATTAGTCCATAAAATTTATTTATTTATTTATTTATTTATTTATTTAATATTACTAATTTAAAGACGGAGTATTGTTTTTTTGGGGGGTGGGGACTAATGAGGTCATGCAATGAGAAAGTGGATGAGTTTTAGTCATACCTAGTTTTAATTTTTTTCTTGATATAATTAATAATAATAACAGTCACCATCGTTTTCTTATTTAATTTTATCTGTTCATATGTATATAATTGATTATTTGATTGTCTCTTATACACTACGTATTTTTTAGGCCGTACATTTGATTTTATATTATTTATTAATAATTTTTATATGTGTACGTTTACACACACACACAGACACACACACACACACACACACATATATATATATATATATATATAATATTTAAAAAAACTAGATTAGCTACTTAATTTTAAGAATGATTGTATTGTTCCAAAATGTTTAAAATTATGACATGCTAATAAATTAATTGGCTTCCGTCAAAGTGCAAATTTAACGGAAGGACTCGATTAATATAGATGAAATAGATTAAGGACTAAAATGATAGATTTAATAGTTCGAGGACCAAAACGATGTGGTAATAATAGTTCAAGGATCATTAATGCATTTTACTCTTATATTATAAATAAGAGAAAGTTCCCGAAATAGTACTAAAACGGTTTCAAAATTATAAAATAGGATTGTCATGTTTTTTATTTCGAAAATAGGACTAATTACTGACATGTTTAGAAAATACTGTCATGTTTGAAGTCTGGTACTGCCAAAACATGGTAGTAATTAGTCTTATTTTGGGAATAAAAACATGTCAGTCCTATTTTGGAATTTTCAATTGCTTATATCATACGATGCCGTTTTTTTATTAATTTAAACAAAACCTGTCGTGCTGTGGAGGAGCTAGCAATCCTGGTTAGTACAGAGTTCAAAACTCCTCAATCTTCACCACTGTTTAGCCAACACCCGTAGCTGAGTAGCAACTGACTCCTCCAAATCGCACCTTCTAGTCAGCAAACTCGGTACTTGAATTGACGGTCTACGTTCATTATCCATACATAATTAATTGGAGGAGCAATAGGTATGAGGTGCGGAATAGTTTTTGTGGTTAATTTATTGGTGTGGCAGTTAATTTTTTTGCTTAATTGATTGGTCTGGCAGTGAGATTTTTGGCTTAATTTATTGGTGTGAAATTATGAATTCTTCTTGATTCATTGGTGGTGGATCTGGCAGTATGGTTATTTTCGTTTGGTGTGGCAGTAGTGTATGTGATTACTGATTTTTTGCTTAGTTTATTTGTAAAATGGTGAAATTTCATACAAATAAGAACATGATCTTAGGAGAGAAATGAGAACGAATATGGACCGTTAGATTTGCTTTAAGTGAAATTCAATGTGCATTAGACGAAACTATAATGTGAATTATGTGAAATTGAAATGTGCAACACAAAGCGTACGTTACAATGTCATTATGTGAATCTGAATTGTGCATTAGGTGAAATTGAAATGTGCACTAGGTGAAACTGAAATGTGCAACATAAAAGGTACGATGTGATGTTATTTTTGTACATTTTATTCCGCACATTTCAGTTTCACCTAATGCACAATTGAGTTTAAATTTTTATTCTGCACATTTCAGTATCATCTAATACACATTTCAGTATCATCTAATACACATTTTCGTTCCACATAAAACAATCCAACGGTCCAGATTCGTTCTTATTTCTCTCATGGGAGTCTGTTCTTACCGGAACCGCTCCATATATATATGTAAATCATTCTCCAGGGTTTGGGCTTTATCCATGGGTTAAATTATTTACTAGAATAGGGATATCAAGTAGTAATAAATACATGTAAGTACACGTGTCAACTATCTAGAGGCTAGTCTAAGTTTGGGCTTGGCCCAATGTAGGAGAAGGAGATACGTGTCCACGCCAGATGGGCTTCACTGGGCCGCTAATGCCTGGGTTGGTGGATCACTGTGGCTCACTGTCCGCTGCTGGGCTCGGCCGACCGTGCCCCGGCCGACCATGCACGACCGACCGTACACAGCCGACCATGTCCGGTCCGGAGACTGAATCCCGGATTGCGGAGTCCTTCCTCCTGGTGCACTTTGTCCTCGGCCGACCAGGTATGGCTGACCGTGATGCCGGGCCAGGTTGCTGGGCCCGTCCGGGAGCTCTGTTGGGCCTGAGATGTGTAGAGGAGTATGTGGGCCTGGGTAGCCTGAGCCATATACTCCATCAGGATTCCCCCACTCCCTTTGACGAGAGTAATGAGTCAAAGAGGGAGTAGAAGAGTCCAAAACTTCCCTGATTCCTGTAATAATATAACTCATGGTAATATTAAAGGGGTTTTCCCTTAATATTACTAAATTAAATCAAATTTCCAAAAATGTAACTACATTTACATTTGGACAAAATTGTGACTAAGATAAAGTGACACCCAAATATTCATGTCACTATCCAATTTTCATGTCACTGTCGGATGTCACTGCCGCTATCGTCGTGTCACTGCCGCCGCCGTCTGTGTGTCACTCCATCGTCATTGCCCGTGTCACTGCTGCCACCGTCACTGCTCGTCATCGCCGCCGGCCATAGTGATGCTGTTACAATAAAACCGCCACAATAACGCCATCATTGACCGGTAACACCCGACACTAGCAGCACCACCCATTGGCCACCACCGTCCTACAAGAATCGCCGCTGCACGGCGGTGGCCGCCGCCACCCCTTGCGCACCAGCCCCATCCACAGACCCCAGCCCTCCTCCTCACCCCCTGCCGCCTCCCCCAGCAGCCCTAGCCCCCTCCAGAACGCTCCCCCAGCAGCCACAGCCCCCTCCAGAACGCTTCCCAGCCCCCAGCGCAGTTCCCCTCCAGCACTCTCCCTCAGCAGCCCCCAACCCCCTCCAGGAACCTACCCAGCCCATCCCCTTCACAAGCAGTCCAACCCCTTCCAAGCCGTCCGTTCGCATATGGGATGATAGAGTGAAAAATGGCCGCCGTTCCGGTGACTCCACTGGATAAGGTCAGTCACTGAGTCAACTACGAAAATGGATGGAGGAGGAGGACACCGTGGCGACGAAGACGCGGAAAAGAGAAGATCCAGAAGATTGGCGGCACCAATCGAAAGAGGCGAGCAGATCCGATGCAAAGAGATGGCTGATGAACAAATGCCGATGCGCGCCGATGCAGAACAGATCCGAGCTGCAGAGATGACCGGTGGGCGTCGTCGTCGGAGGCTCGCCATTGCTGCTGAAGCATCTGATGAATCTCCGTTTGAGCTGGAGAGATGACCGGCGGAGCTGGAGAGCCACTCCTAGAAGCTAAGGTAAAGATGATGTGCGGAGCGGGCCAGAAGATAAGGCAGCGGAAGTGAAATTAAATGGTTACATTTTTGTCCAACTCAGATTTACTCATATTTGTGTCCACACAAACTATGAGAGTGATATCAACGTCATTCTTTCAATATTAAATCGACTTTAATTAAATTGACATTAAAATTCTAACAAGTTCAATTAATTTATTAAAAATTTCATACTATAAAAGTATGCACCCGCGTGTTTTCTTTCTCAATACTTAGTTTCTTTAAAATCACAACTTTAGGAGTATACCCCTATCATACTTTAGGAGTATACCCACACGTTTTTAGAATATAACTTTTATCCGATTAAAATAAATAATATTATTATTATTGTATATATATACATTATAATTTGACATAATTTCATTTTTAAAAATATTTATAAGTAAGACATAACAAAGTTTTTTGTTTTTATAGCACAGAGATTATAATTACACAAAATAATTCATATATAATAAAAAAAATTAAAATGTTGAAAAACGGGTTTTACGGATAATTCGGGTTTTTTGGGTCCGGGTTCTAGCCGGGTTTTGCTGGGTCACCAGTTTTTTCCGGGTTTTGTCTATTTTTGAGATTTTATATAACCAGACCGGTTTTTAGACCGGGTCAACCCGTCCGGTCCGGGTCGGTTTTTTAAACATAACTTGCAGCGAGATGGTTAGTTTTGTTAAGGGTACTTTTGTAAAATAAATTAGTTTTTGTACAATTTAGACCTCTTTTACTCCCAAATGGGTAATTGAGCACTAATATTAGGTGTACCCTAAAATAGTCATCGGTTTAAGGAATTACATAGCTTGCGACAAAGAACATAGCTTGCGGCGGCGAAGAACTCAGCTATTCGAGGGAATACATTAATTCGATGCGATGGTGTACCTAAAATCTATCACACAGGCGGCGAATTTATCACAGTCGAACAGAAACAGTCGAACAAAGAACTCAGCCGGGCCGAGACTATCGAGGGATTAACCAAATTACTTGCTCTAACCAAACAATCCCATCGGGATGCGCGTCGCGTAGATACATTGTTGATGGGTCGTAGATAGGGAGTTATTGATTGGTCTTTAATATTCTTATCTAAAAACTTCTTTATTTTGGATTATTTCAATATATGACTTTAGGGAAGAGAAAGAGATCGGAAGAAGAAGAAAGCCAAGGCAGTTCCAGAACAACCCCCTCCATATGTGATCCAGTATGTTATTTTTTTGTATGATTATAATATTTTTTTTGGATTATATCTAAATATATTTTATTATGCACAAGGATACAATGGATGAAAAAATAACTGAGCTGATGATTGAAGTCAGAAACTCCCATGGATCCTATAATGGAGTTGAAGTAGATTTTACCTCCACTAGAATTTGGGAAGAAATAGCCAGAGTGATGCGTGAACAAACTGAATATCAACTATCTGCTTGTCAAGTTTTTGAAAGGGCAAAAAAACTGAGTAGCAGTGTGAGGGCTAGGGTAAGTATATGAGTAGAGAAGTATGCAAGTTTATTTAAAAAATACTTCATAACATATTTTGTTTAGTTTTTACTAGGCATAACCTCATAGTGTTGCAATATATCTCTGGGTTTATCACTGCTTTATTTATGTAATGCTTCTATTAACTGTCTTTTTCTTATAGCTCCAACTTATTTTGCTTCCTGCTTTATCCATGGGTTTATCACTGCTTTATTAACTGTTTCTTATTGATTTATCCATAGAATATATTCATTGCTCTAAATTAATTAATAAATTTCACTAATTTATTTTAATATAGTGATTTCTATTGATGTATACTTTTGAACATATTGCAGTTTATTTCCTATTTTGTTGTTTCTAATACCATTTTATTCTTCTTTTTGCATTTTATAATACTTAGACCTTATTGTTGTAAGCATTTTATTGTTTTGTTTTGTAAGATAATAGTCCGTGCAGTATTAGTTTTTTTTTTTCAGAAATGTTAGATGGGGCAAAACAAGAGTAAACTTCAAAACAAGAAATGTTAGTGGAGTATTAGTATTTTCTGGTTGTGATATTTTTGTTAAAAGATTGATGAGTGAGCTTTCTAGTCTTTGATCTAGAGTTGCCTTCTTTTCTTGTGGAACTGAGAAGTATTGACCAATAATTGTTTGATTTGATTTTTTTTCCTAGAAATTGGCATTCGGTGATAGGCTTAACGCAGCGTTTGGATTCTGCGATATGTGTGGCTGTGTTGCTCATTTCCCGAACATTTTTGCTACCGTGCGTGTGCCAGCTAGGAGTGGTTCGGCTTCACTCAACTCTGGTTCAATCGGGAGCCTCATGAGCTAATTAGTAATGGTAGTATTACGGTGGCGGAAGGAACAAAGTTTGTTGTTTGGATGGAGGATCATACCCTGGCCGGAGATTTTTTCGTTAATATGAGCGAAAACAGTCTTATAACTGTAATTACTGAAAATCATTATGACGCTTAAAATTTCTTCATTCTGAACAATTTACATTTTTCTTATTTCGTTTGTTACTTGAACAATTTTATCATATTTTTCTAATTTTTATGACTTGTAACGTAATGGATTTCATAATTTAATTTCTCTAATTCCATGTTTTTTACTTGAGATAAAGAATTGTTGCTTTATTACTATAATGTTGCACTCTATTCTCAATATTAAAATTTTAGCCTTCGCCCAAAAAATTGGAGAATGATTTACATGGGAGCTTCTGGCCGGCCATCATCGTACTATAGATGTTCACTGATAGTTCAGAGGTACTTCAGCAGATGCTTCAGCAGCAATGGCGAGCCTCTGACGACGACGCCCACCGGTCATCTCTGCAGCTCGGATCTGTTCTGCATTGACGCGCATCGGCATTTGTTCATCAGCCATCTTTTTGCATCGGATCTGCTCGCCTCTTTCGGTTGGTGCCGCCAATCTTCTGGATCTTCTCTTCTCCGCGTATTCGTCGCCACAGTGTCCTCCTCCATCCATTTTCGTCGTTGACTCAGCGACTGACCTTATCCAGTGGAGCCACCGGAACGGCGGCCATTTTTCACTCTATCATCCCATATGCGAACGGACGGCTTGGAAGGGGTTGGACTGCTTGTGAAGGGGATGTGCTGGGTAGGTTCCTGGAGGGGGTTGGGGGCTGCTGAGGGAGAGTGCTGGAGGGGAACTGCGCTGGGGGCTGGGAAGCGTTCTGGAGGGGGTTGTGGCTGCTGGGGGAGCGTTCTGGAGGGGGCTAGGGCTGCTGGGGGAGGCGGCAGGGGGTGAGGAGGAGGGCTGGGGTCTGTGGATGGGGCTGGTGCGCAAGGGGTGGCGGCGGCCACCGCCGTGCAGCGGCGATTCTTGTAGGACGGTGGTGGCCAATGGGTGGGGCTGCTAGTGTCGGGTGTTACCGGTCAATGATGGCGTTATTGTGGCGGTTTTATTGTAACAGCATCACTATGGCCGGCGGCGATGACGAGCAGTGACGGTGGCAGCAGTGACACGGGCAATGACGATGGAGTGACACACAGACGGCGGCGGCAGTGACACGACGATAGCGGCAGTGACATCCGACAGTGACATGAAAATTGGATAGTGACATGAATATTTGGGTGTCACTTTATCTTAGTCACAATTTTGTCCAAATGTAAATGTAGTTACATTTTTGGAAATTTGATTTAATTTAGTAATATTAAGGGAAAACCCCTTTAATATTACCATGAGTTATATTATTACAGGAATCAGGGAAGTTTTGGACTCTTCTACTCCCTCTTTGACTCATTACTCTCGTCAAAGGGAGTGGGGGAATCCTGATGGAGTATATGGCTCAGGCTACCCAGGCCCACATACTCCTCTACACATCTCAGGCCCAACAGAGCTCCCGGACGGGCCCAGCAACCTGGCCCGGCATCACGGTCGGCCATACCTGGTCGGCCGAGGACAAAGTGCACCAGGAGGAAGGACTCCGCAATCCGGGATTCAGTCTCCGGACCGGACATGGTCGGCTGTGTACGGTCGGTCGTGCATGGTCGGCCGGGGCACGGTCGGCCGAGCCTAGCAGCGGACAGTGAGCCACAGTGATCCACCAACCCAGGCATTAGCGGCCCAGTGAAGCCCATCTGGCGTGGACACGTATCTCCTTCTCCTACATTGGGCCAAGCCCAAACTTAGACTAGCCTCTAGATAGTTGACACGTGTACTTACATGTATTTATTACTACTTGATATCCCTATTCTAGTAAATAATTTAACCCATGGATAAAGCCCAAACCCTGGAGAATGATTTACATATATATATGGAGCGGTTCCGGTAAGAACAGACTCCCATGAGAGAAATAAGAACGAATCTGGATCGTTAGATTGTTTTATGTGGAACGAAAATGTGTATTAGATGATACTGAAATGTGTATTAGATGATACTGAAATGTGCAGAATAAAAATTTAAACTCAATTGTGCATTAGGTGAAACTGAAATGTGCGGAATAAAATGTACAAAAATAACATCACATCGTACCTTTTATGTTGCACATTTCAGTTTCACCTAGTGCACATTTCAATTTCACCTAATGCACAATTCAGATTCACATAATGACATTGTAACGTACGCTTTGTGTTGCACATTTCAACTTCACATAATTCACATTATAGTTTCGTCTAATGCACATTGAATTTCACTTAAAGCAAATCTAACGGTCCATATTCGTTCTCATTTCTCTCCTAAGATCATGTTCTTATTTGTATGAAATTTCACCATTTTACAAATAAACTAAGCAAAAAATCAGTAATCACATACACTACTGCCACACCAAACGAAAATAACCATACTGCCAGATCCACCACCAATGAATCAAGAAGAATTCATAATTTCACACCAATAAATTAAGCCAAAAATCTCACTGCCAGACCAATCAATTAAGCAAAAAAATTAACTGCCACACCAATAAATTAACCACAAAAACTATTCCGCACCTCATACCTATTGCTCCTCCAATTAATTATGTATGGATAATGAACGTAGACCGTCAATTCAAGTACCGAGTTTGCTGACTAGAAGGTGCGATTTGGAGGAGTCAGTTGCTACTCAGCTACGGGTGTTGGCTAAACAGTGGTGAAGATTGAGGAGTTTTGAACTCTGTACTAACCAGGATTGCTAGCTCCTCCACAGCACGACAGGTTTTGTTTAAATTAATAAAAAAACGGCATCGTATGATATAAGCAATTGAAAATTCCAAAATAGGATTGACATGTTTTTATGATAATAATAATAATAATAGTAGTAGTAGTAGTAGTAGCTATTATGATAAAGTATTCCTGAAGAAAAGGGAATAATAAGTAGCTAGCTGTTTTGTAATTGGGGGTCGGGTGAACTTATATAAATAGATAGCTAAAGGAGGAATAAGGCAGGCTGTTATTTGGTACTGGGCTGGGACTGGAGAGTTGACATCTCTTTAACTGTCAGGGCACTTTCTCTATCTTTTCTGTTGTTCGAATAACCATTCCTGTTCACTGTTCATCTTCGTTCATATTTTCTGCCGCCATTATTACTGATTCCAGATAGATACTTAACATTGGTATCAGAGCATCGACCTGGTAACCTGTACATGGTCGTTACGAGAGGATCAACAAGAACAACAATGGAAGTTAGAACCTACTTCACCAATGGAAGAAACAGACCTCTCTACTATGCAGTTATCTCTCTTGAGCAAGGAAGGAATCACAACTCCTAAGACTTTTACAATGAAGGGAAAGTTAAGGAGCAGCAAGGGGGAGAAAACTATAATCATTCTGATTGACTGTGGGGCCACCCACAATTTTATATCTCATAAGGTAGTTCAAGCAGCAGGCCTACCTATATTACAGATTCCAGAATTCAAGGTGAAGATAGGAAATGGAGACATAATCAGAAACAATGGGAGATGTGAAGTTGTTTTTCTTAACATACAACAAACTACTATCGTTCAAGACTTTTATGTCTTAGAATTGGGGGAAAATGAGATAGTTTTGGGGCTGGATTGGTTAGCAGGCTTGGGAAATGTTGAATTTAATTTCAATCAGCTGATTATCAAATGGAAGGAAAAGGGTAAAACAATGAAGCTTCAGGGAGATACCAACTTCAGCAGGAATCAAGTTTCTTTCAAATCCATCATCAAGAATAAGCAAGAGCATGGAGAAGGGTATTGTTCGTTCAGCACTGCAATAACTGAAAACAAACTGGAAGTAAGTATGACTGGAAATTGGAAGAAAAAGGTAGGTTACACTACTAAAGGTGAAGCATTCGAACTATCAAAGTGGTTTGTGGATTCGAGGGTTGAGCCGATCCCAGCAGTTGAATTGATTAGCAAGTTATATGCAAAAGAGAACTATGGTGAGCAGGGTTTGAACCAACAGTTTCAGAGATGGAAGGATGTTAATCTGGAGTGGTATAATGGTGGAAACAAGGGGTATGGGCTGCAAAATCTTGAAGAAGTATCTGAAAGGTGTTTTATCATTGAATGTATTGGAAGGGAGGTGCTGGATGTGCATGCTTATGAGGCACACCCAAAAGAAAATGTAGAGAAGGGTCACAAGCAATTTTACTATATCAATCTGGAGGACTCTAAGGCTGCTGAAGTGAATGGAAGGTCAATAGAGACACCTTCTGCTGCAATAACAACGGTGATTTTGGAAGTTCATGCGCTGAAGATAACAATAAAGAAAGCAGGGGTATTGGGAAGGAAGAGGTGCAAAAATGAAGAAGAAGCTGTTTGTCAGGAGTGTCTCATATGACCCACCTTGAGGACAAGGTGGTTGTTCCGGGGGGGAGTGATGTTAGAGTCTCAGGAAGTCAACTGTTTGATAATAATAATAATAATAATAATAATAATAATAATACTAGTAGTAGCTATTATGATAAAGTATTCCAGAAGAAAAGGGAATAATAAGTAGCTAGCTGTTTTGTAATTGGGGGTCGGGTGGACTTCTATAAATAGAGAGCTAAAGGAGGAATAAGGCAGGCTGTTATTTGGTATTGGGCTGGGACTGGAGAGTTGACATCTCTTTAACTGTCAGGGCACTTTCTCTATCTTTTCTGTTGTTCGAATAACCATTCCTGTTCACTGTTCATCTTCGTTCATATTTTCTGCCGCCATTATTACTGATTCCAGATAGATACTTAACATTCAACCTGCTCTTATTTTCAAAGCTAGAATTATATATCTTCTACGGCTTCCCTATGCTTCCATGCCATAGAAATTTAAATGATATCCAGGAGATAAATAAAACTACGCTACGCAAAGAGGCTACAGACAGAGTAACCTTGGCTTATTGGTTCTTTTTTGAAAGAACAATTTGATCTTGTACCCTTCTGACAAACCATTCCAGGTTAGCTCTGCCCTCATGGTCTAGCATTGGAGAATAAAGCTGCCTGAAAGCAGTAAGAAGTTATCGTAAAGGTAAAACAAATAATCACAAGATTAAAAAAAAAAAACTGAACAGTAAATATTGTAAGTAACAAACAAGAAAATGCATCTGTTCATTGAGCAGGTTCAGCAAGCAGTCCTTTGTTTGTACAGACACATCACAGATGCATGGGTTCTATCACCCACCCTAACAATCAGATTTCAGAACTTGAAAAATATCAACCCAAGTATTCCCCCAGAAATGTTCAAGTATTGAATTGACGTAGTACTCTTAAAGACATGATTATATATCTATATAAGTTATAAGCATGAATCTTAACTCATCTCCCAGGCATATAGTTTAAAAACAAAACACTAAAATAACTATAAGCACCAGATTTACTGACTCCAGAATCCAGATACAGAAATTCAACACAGATGGCAGCCAAAACAAATTTTAAGATTAAATTTTAAAAATCTATCAAAGAAAAACTTGACCTAAAGAGCTGTAGAGCATATAAGTTGTTCCAGTCCTTTAATTAACTGTTTGTCCCATTCGCTTGCGCTTGCTTTTAATAAATGTAAAGATGATTCTTGCATACCAACCACACAGGACAAGACAAGTCTTGCAAATAAATACTAAAAGATATAAGCGGCAACGAGTAAACTCCTTTGGAAATAGAATATGGTGTTACAAAAGCTGAAAGAGGGATGGACCTGAATGATTTTACAGCATCAACAATTTCTCTTATTTGTACATCATTGGGGTATATCTGAGCATATTGCATACATTGAAATAGATGTCAAACTATAGAAGTATACAGAGTCAAGAATATATATTTGCAAATTTTCTTCACGAAAGAGGAAAGCGAACTGCAACTATTTAAAAATCCAGAAGAGTCCAACCATACATAAGAGTTGCAGAAAACCTTCTGCAGTTGTTCTCTTCTTGACATTTAATACAAAAACAACAATAAATCAACATAGACTTGCCCATTTAATCAAGCTGAACTATATGTTTTGAGAAAGTTGAGTGTTGAAGAACCCTGAAAGCTGATTTTGGTAAATAAAATAAAAACCCGAAGTACTAATCATATTTCAAGGTGTTCAATACAATTGACAGTGTGTTACAATTCCCTAGTGATTCCATTACATATTCCAGAGTCCAATACAATTGATATATTACACCACATTACGAGTCCATAGAATGTCTAGGTTTTGACTTCTTTCCTAACTTTTGACGCATGTGTACTTCATGGGCTATACACATGTTTCTATATTGACTTTTTGAGCTTCTCCCACATAGGATTGTACTTGCTCACATATAAAAAAAATTATTCATCATGGAAACCAATATGAAGGAACCATTGAAAAGAGCATTCAACTTCCATTAACAGTGTCCTCAAGAGCTATTAGGATGTGTGCCTGTGACCCTATTGATCTTGAATTACAAATCATCTTCAGAAAATTCACTTTTTCATGCACCAACATAAGCTGAATGACAATTAGCCAACATTGTATGTTAGCTTTTTAAAGTATAATTTATTTTTATGTTCTGTAAAACATTTTTATCTCTTTTCTCTCTATAATCTTCACATGATTATACATGTGGACACAGCACACTTTAACTTTATTTTAATCAGTAATGTTATGTGTACCACATTTTTTCATTTTCAAATATAGTTTTTTCTGTTGCAATAGAATGTTTTACACGGTTTCTAAGTATCTAGGTTGTAATTACTAACACTCAAACACAAATTTATGTTTTATTAGGGATGAATTAACTTTATCGTAAATAAAAAATCGTAAATCGAAATGAAGAGTATAGGGAGCAGAGGTAGTCATTTACTCTATTCAGACAAGTAAATGAGAAGCACCTCTGAGGTACATGTTGTAGCATATGTGAAAGCCTACAATAACTTGCCACTTAGACACTTAAATCGGGACTATTTTCTTCTGCAGAGCAGAACCTTAGCATAGATGATCAGCAATAGAAGTTCATAGATACTTCGTATTTGCAATTCAATCAGGTAAAAAAAAATTAGAACCCTTGAACCCTTTTTTCATCATAATGTCATCATTGACAATTAAGGAGCTAAGCCCTTTTCATGCTTTAAGCTTGGATTCAAATTCCATGTCTAATCAGAAGAGCAAAATGCAATTAACGGTACAGCCTGATTGTATTGTTTATCATATATATCAATCATTTGACATATGCATACCTCGGCATGCTTCAGCTCCATTGTACCCTCCACTAGTTCTATTTCCAATTTGTGGTATTGATCAAACAACCCAGAAGAACTATCAACCTTTTCCTGACACAATGAGCCATCATTGTTGGGGATGCATGTCCTAAGAGATAAACTGATGTGGTTCCCATCAACTTTAGCTACATGTAGACCATTAAGTGTACCATCAAGCATTTCTATAGCTTCCAACCTGAATAGGTGGGATATTATTTCAAATAACATTATGCAAGAACAAGAATGAAGAACAAGAATGAAGAACAAGAAAAAAATGTTCGTTTCCACACTTCCGTGTATATTCAAACTCCACTCATGAGTGGGTAATGGGAATAGGAGATGAATTGGATGTCTACAAATCAAGTTTTGTGAATTTGGGAAACTCAATGTACCATATCCCAAATTTGACTACCGCACAGGTAGCTCAATTAGTCGAGTGGCGGGAGATTTGGATCAATGCATCAAGTTTCGAATCCCCGCAGTGATCGAGTGGAGGTCACAGAACCTGAAATAAGATTGGACCTTTGGTGCGCACGGGTGTATGAGCTACTGTCATTCTGGTGACTGAGTCACCGTAACTAACATCTCCACCATCCTGTCTAGTCGGGGTGAGGGGCTCCTGGATGGGAGATTCCACCATTTGGATGAAAGAGTAGAGCTTGTTGTTCTAGCCTCAAACGGTTGAGGCTAGCGGACTATTAGAGCTATTCAGATTTTGACTTATTTTGAAGGCCCCCAACACCGACTGGACGGTACGTTATAAAGATGTAAATTGGACTATAATCACAATCTGACATATAGAGAGTTGGGTTCTGGTCGTACTTTCAGAGGCTCTATGCATTGTTTAGGATAGTAACCTCTTTGACTTTCTTTTAGTATTTGCTATCATGGTAGCTTATGATTAATTAATGGGAAAATTCCTGAAATAGTAGTAAAAAGGTTTGAAAAATCCAAAATAGGACTGGCATGTTTTTATTCCCAAAATAGGAGTAATTACTGCCAAGTTTGGAAAATATTGTCATGTTTAAAGTCTGGTACTGCCAAAACATGACACTAATTAGTCCTATTTTGGGAATAAAAAAATGATAGTCCTATTTTGGAATATACTAACGTTTTTAGTGCTATTTTGGGTTATTTTTCTTAATTAATCCTACAAAATCAGAATTGCCTATTGAAGTTTGAGAAATTTTTTGGGAAAAGTACGGAAAAGGTACTTATGGTTGGGCTCGTTTTCAGATACGGTCATGTGTTTTATTCTTTATCAAAGTAGTTCATGTGTTTGAATTCCGTTATCACAAGAGGGTCACACCGTTAAAAATGTCGGAAAAAGACCGTTAAAAGTAACTTCAATTTTCAAAAGTGCCCGAAAAATTAAAAGAAGAATACAGAAAGGTGTGCCTCGTCAAGATGACCTCCAAACCACCTTCGCCTTTGGATTTTTCAGATCTGTTTGAATTATTTTTAAAAATTGATTTCGCTAATATCACTTTTCTGATGGACTTTCCGGTGACAAGGGTGGCTGAAAACAAAAAGGATAGATGGCCCAGCGGTAGTCTTATTGAAGCGCATTTTCCGGTATTTTTCTTTTGATTTTTCGGACACTTTTGAAAATCGGAGTTACTTTTAACGGTCTTTTTCAGACGTTTTTAACGGCGTAACCCTCTTGTGATAACGGAATTCAATCACATGAACCACTTTGATAGAGAATGAAACACATGACCCTATCTCAAAACAGGCTCAACCACATGTACCTTTTTCCGTACTTTTCCCAATTTTTTAAGAAGGGAAAAAGGGCAAATAAGCCCTCGAACTAATCGAAAAAGTGCAAATAACCCCTTTTATAGGAGGCTCTGTCCAGCCGTCGCCATTTGATGCGGTTCCCGGTGGAACATTTTGATGAAATTTTTTGAACATCTTCTTTATTAAGTCTAGTTTATTTATACCAAGTTTCAGCTAAAAATTCAATCGTGAAAGCGGTCAAATAAATGTTTGAAGATAACTGCGCAGTTAAACATCAACTCAGTATATTTCAGAAAAAATCATTTGACTGACTTCCCGGTTGAATTTTTATCTGAAATTTGGTATGAGTAAACTAGACTTAATGAAGAAGATGCTCCAAAAAAATCATCAAAAAATTCCATCAATAACCGCCCCAAATAGCGACAGTCAGACAGATCCTCCTATAAAAGGGGTGATTTACACTTTTTCGATTAGTTCTAGAATGATTGTCTAACTTGGTCTAGTTGAGCAAAAGTGTGAGGTTTGTTTCTTATGGGGAAAATTATGCAGAAACAAAACTATAGTATAGTGTATACATAGAAGTAGATGTTTACAGTTTTAAAATACTAGATTCTCACCCGCGCGATGCGCGGGACATATATTAAATACAATATTAAGTAATAATAGTTATTTTATATTCATTGTTAATATAAATAGTTAATGTCTAAATGACATGAAAGAATATATATGTAATACACATAACCAATTGTAATTAAGGTAAATATATATGACTCGTAACTGGTATGAATAATGTTATGGGAGAGTAAGGAATAATAAATATTACAATAGGAAATTCGTACTCTACACATTCCGAAATACTTCTTTGTAGACAACATTGATAGGACGAATCATTGGCAATATTCTCAAAGTTAGGATAGGTGCTTTTCACAATAGTGGCAATTAGATCCTCTCCACACTAATAGAATGTCACTTGGAATTTTGATATCATCAAATCCATCATTGACATCGCCCGCAATACCATCTCCTAAGTGTGCAATCCACTTCGCGAACTCTACCAAATCTTCATATTCACGATCGTCACTAAGTGATTGGAGCCTCATGTTCTTCATCAAACGCAACACAATGCACTCATGCCAAATAAATGATTGGAGCATTATATAAATTTTAATTTTATTCTTCATTTACTTCTTTTGCTTTTGCTGTCTCAAATATCACCAGCTAAAATCCAACTTCCTTTGATGATGAAATGATCTTCCTCCTATTTGTCTTCTTCTATTCGAACTCCTTTGATGGTTTGCCCACTTATCATCTTTATTTTCATTATTTTTTGTTGACTTAGCATCATAATCATTAACACTATTCTTGAAAGGCTTTATGTAATTACGTTATCACCCATATTTTGATTTTTGAGTTTTGTGTGTGACGAATTGCTTTGAGCCTTTGAGACTGCATTGATAGCAATTACAAAGTACATTAGAGTTGAGATTCTCATCCGTGTAATGCACGAAAAAAACTTTACCCAAGTATTTTGTATTATTATTTGCTTAGAATAATAATACATGATAATTTTAAAACAAATGCAATGTGTAAATGCACTAAAAGGTGAAATAATGCATAAATATTAAGAACTCACCAATTGGAAGATTCAAATTACTTGTGGTTGTTATTTTAATCTGCCATATTTACAATATTACAATGTAATCGTATTATATTGACCTTACAATCAAATCATATTATCCTAAATAGTGCAATCATTGATATTATCCTAAATACTTGATGTTGATACTAAAGGGAGTGTAGTCGATATAACAATCGGAGCGCAAATTATACCGTGGGATCGGTCCACCATGAGCATGGTGTGCCGATCCCAAAACGGTACAGTTTTATGCTTCCTATTAAAAAAAGAGCAAATCGTCGGATCCCCTTCATCTCCTTCATTGTTTCATCTCACCATGGAACTCCGCCGCATGTGGGACTAGAGGTTTCGCCGTCGCCCCACGGCCTTCCCTGAAATTGGTTGCACTGATGTAAAGATTAGGTCTATTGCTAGTGCAGGCGCTATGAGCATCTCAACGTCATCCTTCTGCGGATTGAAGTAATCATCGGCGATATGGGGCTATCCCTTATTTTTGAAGTTGCAGGTGTGTATTTTGGTTCTGGAGTTCGTATGTGTGGGCCAATATAATGACTTCAAGCTAACTTTTTGTTTTAATCTATATGTATAATAGTAATAATGTTTTTAATATGAAAGTTCAGATTCTAATGATGAAGACTCACCTTCTTACATCTTACTCACACTCAAGTTACACCGGTATTTGCCTAAAGTTACATATCTATTAGCGTAAGTTACATGTCAACTTTCTTCATCAAGTTACATCTCGCTTACATGTAATTTACATTTTTCATAATGCAAGTTACATCACAATACATTGCGAGTTACACAACACAATAAGCTCTGTTATTAAAAAAAATTATTTTCATAAAAAACATTTTTATAGATCTAATACTAAAAACAAAACATATACAATATTTATGTAAAATAATTGGGCAATTAGACTTCTTCTTTTCATTATTTACATTGAAATCAATATTTTATTTTTTATACTATGTATTTTGACAAGTTACATTTCGAACGGACGGGAGTTACATTGATCAATAACGTGAGTTACATGTCTTTACACGCGAGTTACATCATTCATGCTACTGGGACAAAAGGAAAAAAAAATAGGACGCGTGTACTGTTCACGCGTGTACTGTTCACGCGAATTTTTTTTAAAAAATTTGAGTAAAGCTGCGTCGTTTTGGAAGTGGAGCACCATGCTCACCGTGGGATGATCCCACGGTATACGAACTGCAATCGGAGTCATATAAATTTGATTGTTATTATATTTACAATCAAATCTTATAAATAACATACTATAATTAGTATAATTTTTTACTCCTGCTTAATTTCACTTGTATTAACATTTTACTTCCATTTTCAAACTTAAATAAGATTATTACCATCTTATAAAATATCAATTTCAGTTACGTGTTTTTAGAAAAACCATTCCAAAACCTCTTCAATTGAATTTTTTATATTAATTTGTTTACTTTATTATTTCCAATATTGACAACATCTTAACCAATAACAAACTACTCGTGACTCAAGAAATCAATAGATCTATTTGATATTCTTTATTTATAATAAGCTACTCATACTCGTCTAGTTTTTTACACATTTAGTCAGCTAACTTAAGGATGACAATGGGTTAGGCGAGCGAGTAGTGCAAGATCTGGATGACCGGACCCACCCGTGACTTATTATGCAGTAACCAATGATAAATTATTCCATATAAGAAAGATCAGCACTTCACCAAACTTTTAGCCTAACAGGCAGCTTATGTTACAATGTTTCTGATAGTCCCTGTTTCTGTAACAGCAATGAATAACGATCTAACAACGAAGATTAAACGTAAGGATGAACACAGATTGAATCAATGTAAAACCCTCTTTGATAGATCGTGAACTCGTACAACAGAAAGATATGCGCGTAAGGCTTTAGAGAATAAGTACGACGTTAACCTAATCCTAAACCCTCGGCTCCCTTTTTATAGGCGAGGTTTAGGTTAGGCGTACAAGGCTTT